TACTGAAGTGGGTAATTAGCTCCAATAGGACATAATTTAATTTATAAGAATAAATTATAATCTCTAAAAAGAATTTTACATGACATTTGATTTGTTTTTAAGTGGACCACGAGATTGTCGAACGTCAAATTCTCCCATTGTTTAAAATGAATATATTATTACAACTGCTTTCGTTTCCTGGAAGAGGAATTTACACTTTTTCTTAACACTATTGTTTTCTCAGTTGCTTAAATAACCTATGCTCAGAGAGACAATATTTTGAAAATTCCTGTTGCTTGTTTCTTCGAAGTCGCTTTAAAAGTAAATCCTTCAGGAGAACATTTCTTTAGCTTACTTTTTCATTATTTCCAGAGGCAAAAACTGGCAGGGCAATTTATAATTCAATTTTTGCTAAATCCATGACACCCAATATATATGTCAGGCATTTCAACGGCTGGGTACTTTGGGGATAGGTGATAAATTGTACTGATTATAAGCTCAAGCTGTTCTTCTAAAACATCATATCAAAAAGAAGGTAAGTATTATTGGAAAATGTAATGTATCTTTAGATTGTCCAGAGCTATCAGAGATAATCACTTCATGTGAATATATTCCCCTTAGTGCTATACAGCAACATACTAAGGTTCTTACCGTGTTTTTGATAACACTCATCTGGAGAAAGGGGGAAAAAAAGACCCTATCAGTTCACAAACCTATCAGGGGCTGGTAGTCTTTCAGCAGCCACGGAGCTCTTGGTGCTGCAATAACTCATTCCTGCCAGAAACGCCTCACCCTGAAACCCGAAACATGCCCTAATCATTTTAGGACTGTGTTGGTATATTTGAGTAGTATAAATATTATTTTATAATATAATCTCCTCTGATCTTTTTAAACATCCTTTCAGTGTTCCAGGTATTTCCCTGCGTGATATGTGTGGCTTAAGCAAAGCCACAAATTCCCTAGGATATCTCCAAAAATTGCTGAGAAAGTGGACAAGTGAAATAAAAAACTCTGCTCTGGTGGGATACATGCATCTGTGTGTGCACGTTCGTGTATGTGTGTGTGTGACATGCTGCAATTCAGCGTGGCATTCCATTAATGAGTGAAGTAATTAAGCAAAGCACATGGGTAGGTTACTCAGATCTAAGAATAGGGAAGGGGGATTGGAGCCTTTCACCTCCAGGTCAGTGGTTTGTGTTTAATCGGGTTGTTAATGACTAAAAGTCATTGTTTCCATCTGAGAGCTGTTTGGTCTCCATATGAAGTAAGTTGGTGGTCTGCTATCAGTTTCTTGTGTGCAAATGTACGGATCATGAAATCTATCATGGCTTTTTGCTACCCTGTTGGGCAACTCAGTAAAAAAACATCCTGTTTGAAGGTAATGGCAAAACAACTCTTTCTCAGACAAAGTGTACCTCAAAAAGGAAATGTATTTCTAAATAGAAAAAGATACATTGAAATCACTGACATGAAATAATAGAAGACTAATGAATTTGATTTCACTATGTGTAGTAGGCTTTATATTTGCATCGTTACTTTTACATCCAGTAAATTATTGGAAACTCAGAGTTAATGTGTAGGCCGTGATATTTAAAGTTTCGGAAACCAAAGATCAAAGACCTCAGGGCTTGCCTAAGATTGCTGAAGTAGTAGGTTTCTACAGCAGCTCTAGAGCAGTATGATAAGCTTCTTCGAAGAGTGGTATTTGAGCAAGGCTTCTAAGCACCAGAAGAACTTTTATAGAGCAGAAAAGTAAATGATATTCCATGAAGGACATCAGCGTGAGGAAATTCCAACAGTAGAAATGAGCACTGTGTCTTCATAATAAAACATATTACCTTCATTTTACAGTATGTCTCCATACCAGAATACACAAGGAAAATCTTAGATTTTAACCATATATACACAGTTACATTTATGAGCACCTGTATGTTCACACAGATGAAGGTTATGTTAAAAATACTGAATTGTTGTGGTGTTCTTTCAACAGGAAAAGTGGCATTAAAGATGTAGTAAGAACAAAACATGTAAATATTTATGAGGAAGCAGATGTGAAAGAGCTGCTGGAAACAGGCAAGAAGTATAAAAACCTTTCTGTGCGATACGAGCAGGGGCTGAAAGATAACAGTTCTGAGTCGTCTAACAGTAAGCTAATAATACGTCTTGATTAGGAAAGAAAGGCTTCTGATAACCTCCACAGCTAAAAGACTTTTCAGTCAAGAAAATTCCAAAACTCTCTACGGCATTCTGCTACTGCTGTCACAGCAAACCCAGGTATTAGCGTTTCTCAACTAGGAGTTGGACTCTCACATGCAGACTTTAGGAAACAATGGGGATCATTTTTGGCTTCCACAATGACAATGGCTGCTAATGAACAAGGTCAGAGATGTTCGGCACCAGTCCCTCACTGTGAACCCTATCATGTCCCCAGGGCCAGTGGCATTCCCCCAACAAGAGACACTGTTAACGTTTTTCTCACCACTATGTCTCCATACACCCAAGACCATATTTCCTACACTGACAAATCTTAGATGCAAAAAAAAAAATCACTATTCACTATCTCAACATTTTAATTTTTATTCCTCAACTACTTAAATTTTGTGTCCACCTTTAAAAACGATATTTCTACTAAGATTCTAACTAAATGGATGTCTACACTAACAAATACTTTCAGTTATCATCTTTATGAGACACTTCTTTCTGAAAACTCTATTCTGTCTTGACTTCCTCAATATCATTCTCTCCAACTTTTCAGAGCACTCCTAAGTCATCTCTGTAAGTTTCTCTGACTTCTCTAATCCTTTTATAATGTTTTCTAGAGTTCGATTCTTCGCTCCCATTTCTGCATTTTTTCCCCCTCATTCGTGGCCTTGGCTGTCACCATTGGTGATTTCTAAATCTCTATCTCCAGCATTAATCAATCTCTTGAATACAAGCTTCAATGATGACCTGTGGATCTCCACCTTCATATCACATAGGCACCTCAAATTCAGATGTGGGTTTGCAAAAGCCTCAAAATTATAGCACAGCACTCTTTTTTCTGTCTTCATTAAAGTGAAAAGTTTCTATTAAGTGGAGCTAAAAATAAGAGTAGAGCATGGACTCTGCCTTCTAGCTTACATATGAAGCGATGAATGTAAGTAATTACAAAAAGAGGCATTTACAGCTCTATAGGAGATAGAAAAGGAAGGGCTTAATTTTAAAAAGGGAAACAGAGAGAGGGCAAGTAATAGAGTCCAGGAAACATTTAAGGGTAAAGGACATTTAAGCTAGGAGTTTCCCACATGATTAGAGGCATTCTGAACAAAAGAAGTAATGTGTGTGTGTAGTTGAGAAAGATTAGGGCAAATTCTTGCACCTCTTGATAATTTGCTGTGACTTTGCAGTGCACAGGAAGAAGAAGGAAGAAGTGCAATGAGAAAGAGGCAGCCGCCAGATCATAAAGGTGTTTTATTTCCATGCAAAACAATCTGGACCTTATAGTGTAGACAATTGGAAAATTAACGAAGTTTAACTAGAGGATGCAGGACAATGCAGTTTCATTTTCCAGATGATTATTCTCAGTATGGTAAAGAGGATGATGGGGGAGATGGAGTATTACACAATGGCAGTAAGGATAACATAGAACGTGATAGCAACCTGTTTAGAGATCATGAGACTGATTTAGAATGCTAGAATAGGAACATGGCAGAAGAACAGAAATCCATATATACTATTTTCTGAAAGTGAAATCAACAGGTTTGGTAACCACTGAACCTGTAAGGTGATGGAAAAGTTATAGTGTTGAGGGTTAGCACCAGATGGTTCAGATAATGTAAGGCAGATGCCATTGAAAATTACGAAGAATACAGGAGGATAGGAATGTCTGGGGGAAATAAAATAAACAAACTTTATCACGGACTTTAAAAAGTCACCTTGGAAATCAAACCTGAAAGAGGACCTCTTTTTTTCTGGGATCTGAACTATATCAACCCTTTTCCTTCTTAGGACAATACGTTTCGGGTTTGTCCTTATTGGTAGAACAGGTACATCAAAGACAGAGAAAGTGCATCGGAAAGTGTTTCAAAATCATCACTCTTACTGACTTCAAATGTAATATGCAATATTAGGCACCTTACTTAATTTTGCAGTTTTATTGTCTTATCTGCTAAGAGAGTAAGAAGATACCTGCCTCACAGTGATTCGGAGAAGGTAAAATAAAATGGTGCATTTTAAAGCACAGAGATGATTTTTTCACTTAGAAGTCTCTTTAAAAATTAAGTTCTTTTCCTTCTCACACTGTGGTTTTCAAATAGCTTAAAAAATATGTCAAGTGGCCAGGTACAGTGGCTCTTACCTATAATCTCAGCACTTTGGGAAGCCAAGGCAGAAGGATCACTTGAGCCCAGAAGTTGGAGGTTGCAGTGAGCCACAATTGCACCACTGCATTCCAGCCTGGGCAACAGAGTGAGTGCCTGTCTCAATGTGAGACCTACCCTTATAATTATACATATATAAATAAAAAATACCACATATATATAAAAACCATATGTGTGTGTGTGTGTGTGTGTGTGTGTGTGAAGAGAGAGAGAGAGATCCACATATATATGTATACACACACACACACACATATGGTGTGTGTGGGGGTCTTGCATTGAGACCTCTCTCTCTGTCTCTCTCTCTTTCCATCTATGTGTGTGTGTGCGCACGCGTGCCAAATGTTTCCCAGACATGTCTCCTATTTTTAAAATAAAGTCATGCTCCTTATAATGCCTATATTTTAGCAACACTTACAGGGAATAAATAATTTATTGGCATTGCTTTTCTGAGCCTGTTTGGTATATTCAGAGATTCAGCAGTCAAGACATACTTTACGGGGATAATTTGTGTCAACTATATATTTTTTAAAAGTTAATACTTAGAGAAAACTAACCACCCTTTAAATAACAAGCATTAAGAGTCTAAACCATTTTAATGAAGTTCCCATACATAAGAGGTGAATAACTGTAGCAGTTGAAATTTAAAAATCAAGTTTTCTGTACTTCGGGGATAGAGTCACGATAGGGGGAATGGCAGGAGCAGCGATGGACAAATTCTGACTTGAGATTTGGACAGTCCAACTGATGAAGCACCTCAGACTTGATGGGCAGGAGCAGAATTCGTTGCAACAGAGTCCCTGGAAACCTGACAACAAAGAAATGACTATTTATAAAAGCAAGATTGAGGAAAACTTTCCCTATAAGATAAACAGCCCTAATGAGTTAAATTGCTCTGGAATTATTCCAACCACTGGGCCCCTTGTTACAATTTACACAATTTGGTTTCATTGATGTGGTTGTTTGAGTGATTTATACTATGATAATGGAAGCTTATAAATTTCTCTAAGGGAAGTATAGATCTTGATAGTAGACTGCTAATTCATTTATGGAGTTTGTTTCCACTAGCAGCAGCTTAAGCCTTTTATATAAATTGGAAGGGCCTGCCCTTTCCAAACTCTTTTATGTACCCCTGATCAGCCATTGCAAACATGCCAGGATGAAATGTAATTGGCAAAACTTTGTATCTAAACCACTGTCCCCGATCTAATGTTATCTAATATGCTCAAAGAGCCTCAGAGAAGATGGAGGAAGCATTTTAATTTTTCAGCAGTTGTTTTCAACTAAATGTTTATAGCAACATGAAAAATAGAGGAGAAAAAAATCATGTTCCTGCATAAAATGAAATACATTGGAGACATAAATATTGATGAGCTTTCATGTAGACATCAAAACAGGTGAACTGACTGACAGAGGAAAGAAACAATGAGATAAGAAGGGGCCTGAATGACCTGAATTCAGGACCCTGCATGACTTCAAAATTCAAAAAACAGAATAGAGGATAATGAGTTATCCAAGGTAACTAAACATGAGGGGACATTGAAGAAGTTTGTTTTCCAGAGAAGCCAAGAAAGGAAATGTTTGGTTCTGAAGAAGTGATGGAAGCTACGTCGGGGAGAATTGGGATGAGGAGTATTTTAGGACTTGAACATATTTAAATATTGATGGGAAGAATGTGGTAGACATGACATGGAAAAGGAAGGAAGGAGAGTGGAATCCCAAAGTGGTCTTCTTTATTTAGGTTACATCTATATCTATATCTATCTATATCTATTTCTATATCTATATATACTATATGAGAAATCATAGCCGAGCAATTATTAAAACAACTACTTGTTAATTCATATACAATTAGCCATAGTAAACTCATTACACATAAATAACATATTTTTATTTTAAAAACAGTATATTCCAAAGTAAAAATAAATGAGTGATAAGAATGGCACCGTTTTACATATTTTCAAATCTCCTTAAGTTGTGCTTAATAAGAGACCTGGATTCTCACACCTGCCTCTGCGTTCAGTCTGTTGCCGTACATTGCTTTGATTAATGTATATGAAGAAAATCTGCCCTCTCACAGATACATAGTGGGGACAACAAAGAAGGTGTCAGTATGCTTCTTGGATACTATGTTATAATTCACCACGTGGTAGTTTAATGAAGATTAGCTACAATGTGGAATCTGTAATGATATCAATGAACTTTTGTATTCTAAAATCAATTTGTTTTTACTTTGAATCAAGTTATGTAGATCTTCTAAATGCTGACATTTTATCATAAAATGTCAAAAAATTACACAATATTATCACTGATCTCATCAGAAAAATTTTTGGTTTTTTTTTGACACAGTCTTGCTCTGTTGCCCAGGCTGGAGTGCAGTGGCATGATTTCGGCTCACTGCCACTTCCGCCTCCAGGGTTCAAGCGATTCTTCTGACTCAGCCTCCCAAGTAGCTGGGATTACAAGCACACACCACCATGCCTAGCTAATTTTTGCATTTTTAGTAGAGATAGGATTTTACTCTGTTGGCCAGGCTGGTCTCAGAAGCCCTGACCTTGTGATCCGTCCACCCAGGCTCCCAAAATGAGCAACATCTTTGAGTACTGGGAAGCTGTCAAGTTTATGATGGTAGATGCAACTTGCCCCAAATTCCAATATTCACTTGAAATCTTGAATTTTATAGTTGGCAAAAATTAATTTCAGTCGTTTCCCTTGAAGTGATAATTTCGCTTAGTTCATTTTCAGCAAAATGTCTGCCAGATACTTAAGTCTGAATAAGTCAATCTTTTAAGTAAAATATTATTTCATTAAAAAAGCTCCCAATTCACTCACATTTTTTTTCTCAAGACAACTGTAATTCTCTACCATGCAGTAGAAATGTTGTATGTGTACTACCTGTTACGTCACACGACATATCAAAAAGATGTGTACTTAAGGTTTGAGGTTTAGTAAAATTAATAATATCTACTGCCTTACTAATTTACCTTTAGATGAAAAGGTAGGTGAAACAATGAAAAGGTAAAACAATGAAAAGGTAAATTAGTAAAATTAATAATTTCTAATAATAATTAGTAAAATTAATAATTTCTACTGCCTTACTTAAGTTATTTACCTTTAGATAAAAAGGTAGGTGAAAAACAATGCCAATAAATTATTTATTCTCTGTAAGTGTTGCTAAAATATAGGAATTATAACTAACATGGTAAAAAGGTGAAAATACCTTTTATCTAAAAGTGTAAGTTTGTGGAAATTAAGAACATAATGACATTAGCTCAGTTGGTGAATTCTCCTTGATTTGTGCTAAGGCATCCACAGCTTGACTTCACCAGTGCAAATGTCAAGACAGTGAAAACATCAAACAATACTTTAGTATTATTTTAAAAAATAGTTTTGACCTTGTGTAACCCATGAAAATTTGTAGGGAACCCCCAGGGTCCATGAAATATACTTTGAGAACTCCTACTCTAAGAATTTACTATGTAATAAAGGCGGAAATTAAATCAGTCTGAAAAAAATTTTTGAATAAATATTTCTAGGATTACTGGAAATCTGTTTGGAAGAAAAAAGTTTTATTTGTGCCTAATTTTATGCAAATAAATACTTTTTAATAGATTAAATAGTTACATGTTTATAGTTTTATTATCTAATACTGTTAGCAAATATAGGTATATATGTATCCAATTTAGAGATGAGCAAGATTTTTCTCTGCATTATCTCAAAATAAAAATCCGTAAAGGAAATATAAATAGATTTTTCTACAACCAATTGAAACTTTAAAAAAATATCAAAAGGAATTTAGTGTCTAGAAAAATAGAAACAAAATGGAAAACTGAGAAAAACTAATTGCAACATACATAAAAGATAAAGAATTGTATCTTTCATACATAACAAGCTCTTGTGAATTAGTAAGAGAAAATGACAATATGATGACAGGTAATTCTCAACAAAAGAACTACAGGTGATCTTTCATTTGTAGAACAAATGAAAATCACACTCAACTCTTCTATTACGTAAAAGGCATTCAAATGAAAATTAGTGAGAAGGGGAAAAATGATTGTTTGTCATCTATTTCTGTTTAACAACTCACCCCAATTCTTATCAGCTTCCAACAAACTGTTTCTGATGGTGATGTGCATCAGGAATCTGGGAACAGCTTAGTTGGGTGGTTCTGTCTCAAGGCTTCTCGTGAAGTTTCCGTTATCTCGAGATTGGACTGGAGTTGCATGTTCATCTTCAATCTCATTGCACACAGTTGTTGCCAAGCTTGAGTCCCTCTGGGTTGTTAGGCTGAGGACTTCGGCACCTGGTGATGAGTTGTCCACCTTTTTAGTGGGCTGCCAACAACACAGCACTGTGCTTCCTCAGCACAAGTAATCTGAGAAAGGGATAGAGCACATAAGGCAGAAGCAGTCATTTTTTTATTGAATCTCTGATGCCATAGGCCATCATTTCTGCCATATTCTGTTCACTAGAAGCAAGTTATTATGTGCAGCTCACACTGGAGAGGAGAGAATCATTGGGGACCATCTTGAAGGCTGCCTAACAATAAGAACCTCCAACGTGGCAGACAGCAATGAAACAGGTGGGAGAAGGTATTGTTTCTAGTTCTCTGGAGGGCAACTTGGCAACAAACACAAAACATTTAACATCTCCTTGGTCCTTGTGGCATGGCAATGCTACCTCTAAGAAATAATGAATACAAGGCATGTACAAAAGATATTCACAGTAGCATAAACTGTAATCGTGAAAATCTGGAGAGAACCTAAATGCCTAATACGTAAGATAATTTAATAAATTATTACATATTCCAGGAATATAAATTTGTAACAGTTAAAAATAATTTTGAACAACTTTTAATAAAAGCAATTACTTGTAATTGATAGTTTTTGACAGGATGTATAGGTTATATGATGGTACATTTTGCTAAACTTAATGCATGCATATATGCGTTGAAACCAATTTTGGAAGTATAGAATCCTAAATGTTAATAGTAATTTCTTATGTATGGCAGGGTGTGGGAACTTTTTGTTTTTATTTTCATTTTTTTATTCTCTAATTTTTCTATATTGAGTCTACACTACACAAATAGAAACTATACCTGAGAAAAGAATTATAAAAAAATACATAAATAATATATCAATTTTTAAAAAAATCAACAGAAAAGAAACTTTGATAAAAATGATTTTGACATATACGAGGCCAACAATCAGAAGAAAAAATGCTCATCGTCACTGGTCATCAGAGAGATGCAAATCAAAACCACATTGAGATACCATCTCACGCCAGTTAGAATGGCGATCATTAAAAAATCTGGAGACAACAGATGCTGGAGAGGATGTGGAGAAAAAGGAACACTTTTACACGGTTGGTGGGAGTGTAAATTAGTTCAACCATTGTGGAAGACGGTGTGGCGATTCCTCAAGGCCTTAGAAATAGAAATTCCATTTGACCCAGCAATCCCATTACTGGGTATATATCCAAAAGACTATAAATCGTTCTACTATAAGGACACATGTACACGAATGTTCATTGCAGCACTGTTTACAATAGCAAAGACCTGGAATCAACCCAAATGCCCATTGATAATAGACTGGATTGGAAAAATGTGGCACATATACACCATGGAATATTATGCAGCAATCAGAAATGATGAGTTCGTGTCATTTGTAGGGACATGGATGAATCTGGAAAACATCATCCTCAGCAAACTGACACAAGAACAGAAAATGAAACACCGCATATCCTCACTCATAGGTGGGTGATGAAAAATGAGAACACATGGACACAGAAAGGGGAGTACTAAACACTGGGGTCTATTGGGGGGAAAGGGGGAGGGCCAGTGGGAGGGGGAGGTGGGGAGGGATAGCCTGGGGAGAAATGCCAAATGTGGGTGAAGGGGAGAAGAAAAGCAAAGCACACTGCCACGTGTGTACCTACGCAACTGTCTTGCATGCTCTGCTCATGTACCCCAAAACCTAAAATCCAATAAAAAATTAAAAAAAAAAAAAGAAATACCAAAAAAACAAAAACAAAAAACAAAAACAAAAAAATTATTTTGAGACCATCTGCCAAAATATTATATAAAATATAATAATTATGTGTTAAACTGCTATGATTCTTTTTCTATATGAGTATGAGAAAGTATGAGAAAGCATGAACTGAAATGTATTATTGTCTGAAATGTGCAATTATAAATGAAATTTGGGCTACAGAGAGTGGGAAGTGGTGGCAAGAAAGGTTGTCAATAGTTTAAATTTTATTGTTAATAAGTAAATCATCATTTCTTCTCAGATTCCTAAAAAGCAGACAAATTATAGGTTCCTCAATAAAGGATTACCCTTTTCAGCAGAACATGAATTAAGTGATTTAAGAGGTTGCTTCTGGTCTAAATATAGTGGCTTTGACCAATTTGACTTAAATTCTATGCAGTTGTTCTATTTGTAAGAAAGAACGTTAGTTCAAGATAGGTGGACATTATTTAAAGTCATCTCCCAAGCTACTTGGAGTGTCTCTCCAAGTGCAGCATGCCTCTTGGTGACTCTCCCAGTACTTTCGAGAAGCTCTTTATAACATTTTATTGCTGAGTACATACCATTTATAAGGGAGGAATTCTGAAATAAAAGATATTTTTGAGACCATCTCATATCATATAAGAGTAAGTTGATTCAGGTTTAAGTTTATTAGCTTCAAGCAAGCAAAAAAATAAGAAAGGAAAAGAAGCAGATGAATATATTCTTTAATAGGTATTGTGAAAAGCCCCTTAAGAAGTTCCTTTATAGCATGCTCTCTTATGATACATTCAAAATTTAGGTTTCATCTGCTGTTCCACAATTGCCCTGCTATGACAGCTTTTAGTAGCTGGTCTATTGTAATATATCTTTGGAGAGTGTTTATTCTATTTTAAAATTTGGATCCGAATCCATCCCCAAACTAAATGCTGACATTCACAAGGGCTTGACTGGTTCTCTCTCAGTCTGGAGAAAGCTCTTATTGTGGTCAATTCAACTGAGCCAACTATTAGTAATGTTAGAATGCCATTCTGCAAAGCAGGGCAATACTTAGTTAAAGTGATTCATATTAGCTGAGCATGAGCAAAGAAATCTGAACAGGCTATTTCAGAGTCCTGGACTGCCAGTGAATCCACTGCTCTTATGAACACAGTGGGGAAAAAAAAAAAACCAGGGTTCAT